CTTGCTCAGAAATCAACAAATATTACTGGAAGAAACCAATCTAAAATATAACAAATAAGAAGAATTTTTAAGGGAAAAAAAGGTTGTCCTTATAGGCTGCAGTAATACATTGAGAAATATTCTGTCAATTAAATTCTTAAAGAGATTTTTTAAAAATACTATTTAAAACAAAATTCATATTTTGAAAATTTTCCTATTTTGGTTTTCTCCATATACAGATTTAAATAACTACAACCCTGCAATTTGCATATGAAATACATAAGTCTTAAAAAACCTAATAAGATGTCGAGCATTTATATTAGAAAATATATAATAGTCAAAATGTTTATTTAAAAAAAATATTATATTTTGTACTTAAATTCCTTTGATAATATTAGCTGGAAAAAAAGCTATGGTGGTATATTTTGGAAAAAGTTTTATACTGCTGCATAAATATGATTTTAAATTTGTTTAAAATTACTTGGGTATTTTTTTTTTAATTATTAGCTTGAAAAATTACATTGATACTAAAAATTACAATTGAACAAGTAAACAGTAAATTTAAAAACTGAAAAATCTTTAGCTTGGACTTAGAAGAAAATACAATTTATTTAAGAGAGCAAAATTAGTACAAAGAGAAGTGTAATTTTTAAAATTAATAGGGAAAAATAAAGCTATTAAATTATATGTATGTAAATAAATAACAAATTCAAAACAAATCTTTTTATTCAGTGGAACAAAGTATGCATTTTGAACCAGAAAACAGTATTAGTAAAATTTTCAGTATCAGTAACATTTTCAGAAAACAGTATTAAAACCAGAAGATATAACGAATTTGTGTATATCTTCATTCAAACAATATAACAACATATGAACTGGTAAGAATCTTGCTGACAGCTAAGACTTTCACAAATGAATACAAAATAATTCTTATAAACATGCTTTTAAAAAATATTTAATTTACATTTTTATAAAAGCCTAAAAAATATACTGGACATCTATTTTAGAAATTACTAATTAACATGCCTTATAACTTTTATTGAATAACAACATTCAATACCTCTATTATAACACTGAAACCAAACTTTTAATCTTTGGAAATAACCTTCCATAAGTATTTCCAAAGTTAATTATTATTATAACTGTACGTTTGTTAATCTTAAACATGAAAGTTATGCATAGCTTTATAGATATTAAACTGAATCGAAAATATGAAATATTATTATCAATATGTATGTTAAACATAGACATTGCACTATTATAGCAAAATTGCCACAGACAAAAATGAACAAAATAGTTGCTTTTAGTAGCCTAAAGCATTAAAATAGTAGCCAAAAACTAGGAAAATAGTTGCCTAAATAAGAACAAAAATTCATCTAAAACATGACTAAAATTTTGTTAATGACTTAATTGTCATATACCATGATGCATTCACAGGGTGCGTAGCCAAATTATTCAGCAAAAAATAAGCACTTTTCAAGAACTCAAAAATATTTTGAAGCATTTTAAAAATTATTATAATTAGGCAGAGTTGGAAAGTTTTTGACAATTGACAGTTTTATCTTGTTTTTACCATCATGTTAAAGAGAAAAAAAATCTTTTGGCATTGTTTTTGACAGTTGTCAAAAATCATGAAATTTTGAATCATGTGAAATGGATATATACATCAAACAAAATATATTCATGAAACAAAATATATCAAGTATGAAATAAAAGTAATTCAGATTATTTTGCAATTTGTATGTTGTTGCAGCAAAAGACTTCAAATTAATTTTACAAAATAAATAAGACATGAAATTTTATCAACACACAATGCAAATTTTTAAAGAAAAATATTTGGTACAGTTAGATAATATTAGTGTAATTCCTAATAAATAAAAAAAAGAACATTTACAAAATAACTTGATTTATTTTTCCTAAGTTAGAGATGCAGAATTAAGCAATCAAAGTTGTTAACTTTATGCATCAAAAGCGTAATATATTACAATACTATCTTCAAACAAAATATATTAAGTATGAAATAAAAGTAATGAAGACTATTTTGCAATTTGTATGTTGTTGACTTCAAGTTAATTTTACTAAATAAATAAGACCTGGAAATTTTATTAACACACTATAAGAATTAATATATATATATTAAGAAAAAGATTTTGAAAAAAAATTAGGAAATTTACGATATAACTGAATTTATTTCTCCAAAGTTAGTAATTTACGTTTCTTTGAAAGCTTTTTTTGGGATATCATTTTTTAAAAGGCAATAGTTGTTCAAAAGAATATTTGTGGTGATCCACACTATACGTTTAATAATTTCCTGAGATGAATGACCAGAGGAACAAGTGCTTACATCATTAAAAATATCAAACTCATTCACTATAGCCAATACCTGTTCAGACATATAAGATCGCTGATTTAATATTTTTAAAAAACTGCTTTCATGATCAGTAGATAAAAGTTTCTGTCCTACTATATAGGTATAAGATACTATTTTAACCTCATCTGCATTTGGAAATTTCAGTCCTCCTATTAAGCTTGTGACATGCTGAAAGCATATTTAAGCTTGTGACATGCTGAAAGCATTCATCAATAGCCAGTTCCTTATCCATTGTTAGCTGTTTTTCACAAAATTCACACTTTAAATTTTTACAAATAGTGTAAACACAGTATCCTGCAATATACACCAATACAGGTAAACTAGAATCAATGTTCTTAAAGTCTTGTTCGCTGACTGCTACTATACCTTAAGTATTTTTAAGTTCACTACTTTTAGCTTCTGCTGCATTTAACGTTAGTTTAGTAGCTTTAATGTCACCAAACACACTTAACTTCAACGAAAGTGGCAAATAATTTTGTAACTTAAGTTTTGTTTCAGACTCAAACAGTTGCCAAACTGATATGTGAAACTGTGATCCGGCTAACATTCTATATTTGCCAAATCTTTCCTCTAAGGAATCAGTTTGCACCTTTCCTGTCAAAAAATATCTCATCTTTAACTTTTCAATGCAATACGTTGACATTTCTAAGAGAGCACAGCTAGTATGCACAAGAGCTTTATGTGCACAAAAGCTTCAATTTCCCGGTTGCAGGATTATAATCCTGCCAAATGTTCATCCAGGTAATGAACTGCTGCAGAAAAATTTGTCCTTCATCCACGGGTGAATTTGTTAAAGGATGCATTATAATGTTTTTTAGTCTTTTTCCTTTATCAGGAGTTTTTACATTTACCACATTCCACCAATTCAAAATAACATGAATGTAGGCAGCAGTTTGTTTACAATAATTCAAGCTGAGTTTTTCACCGAGTTCAATTAGAGCTGCAATCACATGCTCATTGAAAATTTTCAAGACCAGGTTAGCGTTCTGGCGCTCTAAGTTTGTAGGATTCAAAGCTTTAAGCGTTAAACTATAGCCATATTTTAGCAAGTTAGTATGTTCTAACTCATGAAGTTCTTTTAAGGTTTTGAAACAGGCTGTATCCAATTTTGAAATCACATTAGAATCAAAACTGGGATAATTCATGCTCTGTCTATCATTTTTTGGGTTCAACCAATTATTTCGGATGCATTTAAAAATATGGACAGCATCTATAACGTAATAAAGAGGCCTATCAGAATCTACTGGATGGTTGAATGATACCGAGAGTTGGGGAGGATTTGAAAACAAGGACATTGCCTTCCTATTTATTGAGTTGCTATCACTCACAACTGCAACTACAGTGAAAGAGATATCCTCTAAGTCAACAACAACTCTTTTAATAATGTCGTGCAAAGTTTCTGCAGTCAATGTCTTTACTGGTAGCACAAAAACAACATCTTTATAGTTTGAAAGCAAACTTTGTATCATGAAGGCATGTGCACTAGTAGCAGCATGCGAACTGTCAAAAGCAGCCCCAACAACATTCCCTCCCTTAAAATCAAAATAAGGTTTTAAATGAATCTCATCCATCATTAATGTGATAATTTTGTCTTGTTCATTTAAATCTATGACTTTTTCACTTGTATATTTTAGAAAATTTTCATCTAACTGCTAACCTTGAGGGCTTGCGTTTAAATTGGAAATTATCCGTCGGATAGTTGTTGGGTGAGGAAGTACTAAATTCCCAGAATTTCGTAAAAATTTATAGGCATGTGGTGATATTGAATACATCAATGCACAAAATATCATTAGTTGTAGCGAATATCTTATTTGTTGCTTTTGATATTGTAGCAGTGATAACTGCTCTTTTAAAAACTGTGTTTTTTCTTTTAAGTTTTCATCTACTAAGTTCTCTAACAGTGATTTAATTAGTTGAAAATGGAGGTTATCATTAACTTTGCCACTGGACAAATTCTCAACATAGTCTAGTACAACTGATATTTCCTTAAAGTTATTTGTTGACTTGGGAAGCTTAATTTTATCACAAGTCTTAAGTTCCACTGACTGAAAAAAAGTTTTCATTTCAAGTTCCGTGGTGATTAAAACCGATGATTCAATGGAAGGTACACCAGAAGAGTTTATACGAGCAAACATCGTGCAGTCTTCCTTACAAATTACTGTCCAGAATGCTGATGTTTTAAATTGCTTTAAACAATTCAAAAATCCATTGTAATCAGAAAACCTATATCGGTGGTGTTGGGTAAAGTCGTTTTGGAAGTACGTCATGAAGCCCATCCTAAAGGAGGCGTGGCATCCTTTTTCGAGGAGGCGTGGTCGTATAAAACCACGCTTTCTCAACAAAAAAAAACTCTCCGCAGGAATCTTGCCAGATTTTGGCGATGATCACGATAGGGAAATCTTCTCTTCATGCAAGTAACAACTCCCTTACACTGTGGGGAATTAAATTATCGACTATGTTAACCTTCATCTATCATAAGGTACCTCGAGATAGAATCAAGTTAACATGTCTTATATACTAGTGAATTGGCATTTAATATTTATAGTGGTAGTTAACACTAGCGATTTCCGAAACTTAAATTGGTAATTGTACGAATCACTCAAGGCTTTGCCAATCTGGAGGAAGTTTCTCTCACCGGTTCTTCAATACGTTTTATGCCGTCACATACTCAATAGATGTTCCATCTCTGTAATTTCGTTTTGTAGTCGTAGTTAGTTCGATTCGTATGCAGTTATAAATTAATCAAATATAATTGTTGTTGCTGTAGTTAATTTACGTCGCACTAGAACTGCACGATGGGCTATTGGCGACGGTCTGGGAAACACCCCTGAGGATGATCCGAAGACATGCCATCACAATTTTGATACTCTGCAGAGGGGATCCGCACCCCCGCTTCGGTAGCCCGATGACCTGCGCGCGAAGTCGAGCACTTTACGGTAGCACTGTTTAACGAGGACCAATACCGCACACCCTCGGTCCCTACGCAGACTGATCCAAGTGGTCACCCACCCGCGCACTGACCGCAGCCACTGATACTTGACTTCGGTGATCTGCTGGGAACCGTGTCTTAACGATCAGTCCACTGCGGGACCAAATATAATTTCATACTATGTATTTTATCAATGTTATTTTATCTTGATAAATATAAATAGTATCTGTGTAGAATATTTAGTTAAAAAATAAGAATGTAATTTAAAAAATAATTTAAAACTAGTTTTATCTTCATTAAATTCTCATTCATAAAAATTCAGCACATTGATAAATGTGGAAATGTGAAACAAACAAGAATGTAAAAAACATTAATTTATTGTGCTTTAGCTTTTACATAACATAAATTGTAGTATAATATAATGTTAAGCAAATAGTAGTATTAATTAAATAGAAGTTCACATTTTGACTCGAACCATTGTCATTCTTTACGGTAAACAGAGAATATGTATGAATGGATTGCTCATTTTTAATTCCAAAAACGTATTTTTAAAACAAGTTTTGTTTTCAATACTCAAATTAAACATTCATGTTATTACGCATTCATTCAATTAAGCAAATAGAAATTTGTATATTTAAAATAGTGTTAAGAAGATTTATAAGATAATAAAGAGATTCTTATATAAAATTTAGTACAAATTGTAAGTCTAAGGAAAAATATTACAACAATTAAATTGTTTTGTTGATGAAATCGATATTAGGAATGAAGTTACAAAAAATTTAACATTGAAATCACTTTATATTAAATATTCGAGGAGCTTAGTGGAAGAACCGGCTCTGTGACATTTTTAAAAAAATGAGTTTTCTTGGGAAAAGTTCTTATTTTAGCTTTAATTAAATATATAACATTGATTTATATTGCTAAATCTATTCATTCCGAAGATACTCAGTGGAAGATCCGGCTATAGTTTGTCTATAAAAACAGCTCCTCGCCACGAAGTCTGAGGCGATATTTCCGAATAGTGATCTGTTGCGCCAACTACGATCGCCAAGTTGCCAAATATATTTTAAACCTGCGATGCAGAATTTGAAAAAAAAAAAAAAAACATGTAGATCTTTGCCCGGGGCAGGTTAGGAGTTGGTCTCTTTCTGTGATGTTTTAGTTTCTCGCGAGTCGCTGCCCGGAAATTTCCAAGACTTGGCGAATTCTCTGCCACAGACCAGGATACAGAAATCTCTCCAAGTCTAAGGCTGTGGATGGTGTTTTCAATATAAATGTAAACAATAACAATCTCGAGCTCCTTCCTGCTCTAGTTCCGGTTAGAAAGTTTGCAGCTGCTTACTATATAGCTTGTTCTGCGAGGCGATATTTTCAAACGGATAATTTTGTTTTCAATAAATGAAATAAATTAGATAATTTCTGAGCTCAAATCTGCCGTATTTCATAAGATATCGATGTTATTAAGTAATTCTGGTGATTTTGAGGTGAAAATTTGTTTTAGTTATTTATAGATACTTTGTTAAAAAAGGTGACATGGTTGCTAGATTTTGAATAACTCGCTTTTTTGGCACTCCGATTTGGCCTCTTTCCATTTGTTTATAACTGTTTGTTCTTGTTGCAAGCTGTACACCTTCTTACGTTAGCATATTGTTCGAGCAACAAGACTAAGTGTATAAATTATAATTCAGGTTTAAATATGAAAGTTGGCGTATATTATTGACAAGGTAAGAAGTGTTTTATAGCGATTATTTTTTCAAATGTTACGTTTACATATTTATTATTGATCAAACCACATGTTACTTCCACTTAACACTACTATTTTACAATTAATGTTAAAATTATATGCCCCTTATAATTTTAACATTAATAAAACGATATGAGAGTACTGTCTTTTCACTATTTTTCTTATTATATGACATCTTTATTGGTTATTGTATATGGTATTTAGACTTAGAATTCATTGTAAACACAAGTATTAAATAAATGAATACAACATTTGCAAGAACTACTATTCAAAAGAATCTCAAAACACGGAAACACGTTCTGATCCAAATGGGTTGAAAATGCACCGGAAACAGTAACACGGAAGTATAGGCGGTAAAGAACCTGCAGCGCTCCCTAGTGTAGACCATCAAAGACAGGAGCTTCTTTCTCTCCTGATTCCTTTACTCTGGCCGACTCGAGCAAAAACCTGCCTTAAATTATGACCCAACTTAAAATAAACTCCGTAACCATAGTCGCCTCCATTACTCCAGACTAATGGTTAGGGAAGTTCTGTACATAGACAAACTATGAGTGGCGTTATTTGAGTATTCATTGGATGAAAGAACCGGTTAAGTGACTTGGCGACAAATAGTCAATAAACAAAACTAGAATACCTCTTGCTTGGCATCGAACGATAAGACTGGGGAGAGAAAAAAATTATAAAAATAAAAAACTTGAAACAGCAGCTTCCATGCATTAAGGAGTAATTTATATTATTATACGAATTAATAATTAAAGAAACAAGAAAGATAACTCATAAACAGCTGAAATATCTATTTTTTTTTTTTTTTTTTTCGTTTCTGGTTCTCCTTAGTTTGTGTTTCTGGCACACTGCCCTAGTAAAAAAAATTTAAGTTGTCACGTCAATAAATATTATTTTGTGCTTCAAAATTTTTTCAGTTAATTATTATTGTAACTAACGCCCAGTGACTGAGTGGTAGCCCTTCTCGCTGTCGTGCCACAGGTCCATGGTTCGATCCTCGGGCCGGGCAAGGTTGACTCAGCCTTTCATCCCTTCAGTGGGTCGACAAAATGAGCACCAAGCATGTTTGAGAACTAAACACAGGGGTTCCTCGTTGGGCTGACCACCCAACTGGAACATCTGCTTTAGCACCCACCCCAGAGCCCAAAGGTCAAGTAAACTGAGATGGGCGCAATAGGCCTTGGCCCTCTATGAGTTGTCATGCCAATGAGTTTAGTTTATTGTTACTACACTGTAAAAAATTTCGATCTATGTTGCGCCGACTTTGGTATTCATTTGCTGGCTACATAAAGTGGTGCTCAGTTTACTATCTCCGAATGACGGGAGAAGGTTGCACCAAAAATGGATATTTTTAAAAAAAACCTAACAACTACAGTCTCTATAAGATTCTGCAGCATCTTTTTTTCCTCGTCCCCTGACCCAAATTTTCTTCCTTTTGCGTCATACGCTAGCTTCAAAAACATTCGTGAGTTTTCGCGGTTTGAAAATAATTTAGCATTCACAAGGGCCTTTACTTCAGCTTTTTTACATGGTGAAAGATCACCTTTTTCACCCATGATGAAAATTTTCCAATTGATTATTTATACTCTGCACCCAAAATAAACAAATAACTGCGTAGTATGAAACAAATAAACACAGCGCATAAATCCACAGAAACACGTCCGCAACTGACGCACGCACGCGAGAACGGTATTGAAACCGGTTTGCACTTGTTTGAGTTCCTGTAACCATCATTCGGTTGAAGGCCTGTTTATAGTGCGGCTTTCAGGGTAACTCCTCCAGACATCAGTCTCGCGTCGTGGTGGGTACCATGATTACTAGGGAAAGTCACTTCGAATAGGGGTGTGGGGTGAATAGTTTTGTCGTGATGTTTGCATGCGTGAGTAAACCAATCGACACCTTCACTTCTCCCCCCCCCCTTAGAAATGTGCTCTCGCTTGTTACCATAGCAACATGACAGCCCAGACTTTCAGTCCATCTTCTTCCATCTGAATGAATATCGTCAATTGCAGATGTCATGATATTCCTGTCGGATTTTTATTCTGTTAATCTGGCTATTAATCATCCATTTAGATTAATAAAAATGATAATTATAAAAGAAAAATTTTTTTAATTAAGGAAAACTTAATAAAGCATGAACCTACGGTAGGGTTTAGGAATAAATTATTTTCAACTAATACTATTAAATCATGACCATTCTAATTAAATAAATAAAATCATTATATTTTAGACTTTGCCGATTTGCTATTTGACGTTGTGTAAAATGCTAAGGTCATGTATCAATTGCTTATTTATTACATGCTTCTTCCGTTGATTTTTGCAAAAAGCAAATGTCTCAACTATAATATAACGACATATACAAAATCGTCTTTTGCACAAAGTTATACCTATTGTCCTCAAGTGTTTATGGGATTTTCTAATAATTTTTTTCCCAGCAATTCAAGCATTGTTTTCTTTTATTTTTAAAAAAAATATATTTAATAAGAATTCCATAAATGCTAATTTTATATCAAATAGGACAGGAATCCATTACATGTTTAGGCAAATTTCGTCCAAATTCCTTTTTGAATAATTCTGTTCCATCTTTTCCGCATTTTTGGATACTTACTTCTCTGAAACAAGGCATAATCGATTTCACAAAACTGGAAGAAAAAACATAATATNTATAATTCAGGTTTAAATATGAAAGTTGGCGTACATTATTGACAAGGTAAGAAGTGTTTTATAGCGATTATTTTTTCAAATGTTAGGTTTACATATTTATTGATCAAACCACACGTTACTTCCACTTAATACTATTATTTCACAATTAATGTTAAAATTATACGCCCCTTATAATTTTAACATTAATAAAACGATATAAGAGTACTGTCTTTTCACTATTTTTATTATTATATGACATCTTTATTGGTTATTGCATATGGTATTTAGACTTAGAATTCATTGTAAGCACAAGTATTAAATAAACGAATATAACATTTGCAAGAACTACTATTCAAAAGAATCTCAAAACACAATGATCATGTTCTGATCCAAATGGCTTCAAAGTACACCGGACACAGTAACCAGGAAGTATAAGCGGTAAAGAACCTGCAGCGCTCCCTAGTGTAGACCATCAAAGCAACACCTCCTAGAATAAGGAAGGCCTCAGCACGGATTAATTTAGTAGTCCGATGTGACAAAGTTAACTGCGCAGTTGATGAAAAATAAGAAAGATGTCATTACGTTCGGGGTACTAAGCTGCGCAGTGGTTGAAAATACGAAATACGTCATTACGTTTGGACTACTAAAGGATATTTATGGTAACCCGTGCAGAGGCCTACTCTTTTCTAGGAGGTGTTGATCAAAGACGGGAGCTTCTTTCTCTCCGGATTCCTTTAATCTGGCCAACTCGAGCAAAAACCTGCCTTAAATTATGACCCAACTTTAAATAAACTCCGTAACCATAGTCGCCTCCATTACTCCAGACTAATGGTTAGGGAAGTTCTATACATAGACAAACTATGAGTGACATTATTTGAGTATTCATTGGATGGAAGAACCGGCTAAGTGACTTGGCGACAAATAGTTAATAAACAAAAGTAGAAAACCTCTTGCTTGGCATCGAACGATAAGGCTGGAGAGAAAAAAAATTGATGAAAATAAAAAAACTTGCAGCAACAGCTTCCATACATTAAGGAGGATTTATATTTTTGTACGAATCAATAATTAAAAAAGACAAGAAAAATAATCCTTAAACAGCCTGAACATACAATTATTTTTTCGTTTCTGGTTCGCCTTAGTTTGTGTTTCAGACACACTGCCCTAGTAAAAAAATTTTAAGCTGTCACGTCAATAAATATTATTTTGTGCTTCAAAATTTTTTCAGTTTATTATAATTGTAACTAACTCCCAGTGACTGAGCGGTAGAGCTTCTCGCTGTCGTGCCACAAGTCCATGGTTCGATTCTCGGGCCGGGCAAGGTTGATTCAGCCTTTCATCCCTTCAGTGGGTCGACAAAATGATAATATTTCGTGATAAAACGTGATATTTCGTGATAAGTCAGCGTGAGTAAACCAATCAACACCTTCATTTCTCCCCCTTAGAAATGTGCTCTCGCTTGTTACCATAGCAACAGACAGCCCAGACTTTTATTCATAAGGAGCTCTCCTCAAAGCCGCACTGTAAATAGAATTTCATAATAAAATACTATTGTAAATGCAATGATATTCCATCTGAATGAATACCATCAATTACAGATGATATTGTCATGATATTCCTGTCGGATTTTTATTCTGTTAATCTGGCTATTAATCATCCATTTAGATTAATAATAATGTTAATTATTAAGGAAAACTTTAATTATTAAGGAAAACTTAATAAAACATGAATCTAGTTGTGGTAGGATTTAGGAACAAATTATTTTTAAATCATGACCATTCTAATTAAATAAAATCATTATATTTAATACTTTGCCGATTTGCTATTTGACACTATGTAAAATGCTAAGGTCATGTATTAATTGCTTAGTCATTACATGCTTTTTCCGTTGATTTTTGCAAAAAGCAAATGTTTCAACTATAATACAAAAATACACACAAAATCGTCTTTTGCACAAAGCTATACCCATTGCCATCAAGTTTTTATGAGATTTTGTAATAATTTTTTTTCTGCAGTTCAAACATTGTTTCGTTTTATTTAAAAAAATATTTAATAAGAATTCCATAAATGCTAATTTTATATCAAATAGGACAGGAATCCATTACATGTTTAGGTAAATTTCGTCCAAATTCCTTTTTGAATAATTCTGTTCCATCTTTTCCGCATTTTTGGATACTTACTTCTCTGAAACAAGGCATAATCGATTTCACAAAACTGGAAGAAAAAAATTAATATAAATATTAAGACTTAAGTAAATGAAAGTAAAAAGGAATAGTACTTCTGCCAGTTCCTGAGCGTCTTACAATTTTAAAAAGTAGTGATGAAATTGAAACTAATATCGCTATATTTGTATTACCGGAGAAATTTCCATATTGTGATCTGTGGCAGAAAAATCGACAAGTCTTCGCAACTTCTGGGCAGCGGCCCGCGAGAAGCTAAAAAAAAGGGACCAACTCGAATCCACCTCGGGCAAACATCTACATATTATTTATTTTTTTTTTAATTTGCAAGTTTAAAATATATTTAGCACTTTCTTGGCGATTGTAGACGGCACGGCGAATCACGATACAGAAATATCTTCGCATTACCTCCAGCTGCTGCGGAATTTCAGTAATTTTTTTCCCTAGTGTTAGCAAAGATGAGGTATTAATAAATTAAAATGAAAAGAAATAGTTTCACCACAATTTGTAAATAATTTAAACAGCGATATAAAAGACTAGACATGTAGTCATGTTAAGTTCTGACAAAAGCTGCATGATAGTTCTATTTGTTTTTAAAGTTTCGTCTTCACTACCACTGGGAAAAAGATTTTGCAAAAACCTCAAATTTTGGAGGAAATGTATTTAATACATTTGTTACCATCACTATTTAATAATCAGTTTAAAATTTAGTATAACTTTGCAAATCTCAGAATTCAAAATTGTTTTTTTTATCATTAATAAATAATGAAAAAATAATTATTAAAAAAAAGTCATTTATATTTTTAAACGAATTTTATAATGGTGTGTAAAAAAATTTATCGTTCGTTCAAACAAACATTTCACGAGTTGTTCAAAAAAATAAAAAACTTAAGTGACGTAATAGTAAAATTGGAAATAGTAACCCCCCATTCCTCTCCTGTCGAAGGGTGGAGGGAAAATTCTAAATATGCTTTTATTCCTCTTTATTTAATTTCCACAAATAAACTGATGGAGGATATTTACTCCATCTGGCAGCATCTATCGTTACATGGCCGATGCTTTCCATATAAGGCCGCCATTCAATCACAATTGGAGATATAACCCTAACAGTATTTTAGAGTCTCTGTTAATTTTTTTCTAACATAATTATGTAGAGGCCGGGATAGCTTGGTTGGTAGGGCACTGAGTCTGTCCAAGAGTTCGTGAGTTCGATCCCCAAAGGCCGAAGACTCTCCGTGTAGTTAATAGTGACTGATGCAAGTTAAATCTGTCGAGTTGCAAAGTCCTCCATGTTCCTATAACAAATCCACACCTCTGGGGTTATTGATTCAGGAGTTTCCTTGTCTTCTGGATTGGGTTCAAAATTACAAGACTACGCAGTTGAACATTAGTAGTCGTAAACCCAAAAATTGGGTCGGCTGTTCAACGACAGATATAATTATGCGAATACAACTCTGCTATCAACAATTTTTGATCGATAGGTAAATAGTAAACAGTTTTATTAAGAATATCTGTTTTTATGCAATTAACGTTAAATAAATTTTTAGGGTTATTCAAATCGGTTTTCATCAATTTAAACTGGAACAAATATAAATTTTTTTAAAAATTCTAAAAACTGAGGTACGTGCAGATTTAAATTACTTACTTTTGAGAAAAATTCATTGAATCTGTAAACATTATCAAGCGCGGAAAAGAAAATTTCCTCACAAATTCTCTTTCTTCATTATTATTTCCTTCGCTATTAATCCATTATCCATTAATTCTTCCTTCATTATTAATTTAAAATTTAAAGTGTAGAAAAAGTGAGTTCAAACAAACCTAGCGTAAGCCATGAAGTTTCAAATACTGAAAGGAAAATTTTCAAATATACAAATGAAAATAAATTACGAGAAAATAACTTCGGATTACGCAACGATGAAGTTCTCTTTTAATAATTTGTTTGCATTTTGAAATTTTTAATTTTTCTTTTCAGTAATTGAAACTTCAAGGCTTACGCTAGGTTTGCCTGAAATCACTTTTTCTTTCGATTAAATCTTAAAGTAGTAAAGAAAGGATAAAGAGAATTTGCGAAGAAAATTTTATTCCGCGATACAGTGTTCTGTTAATATGATAAAATCTTAATTTTTTACTTTTTTTTTTGCCATCAAATAACAAAAATCATCAAAAATTAAATAGAAAAAATTAAGAAAACACGAATAAAATATTTAACCTAAATACTAAGATGGCGACAGCGGAGACCTTTTAACATTAATCTACCTTAACTTTCGTCCGCTCTCCCAACTGAACTATTTAAATCATATTTTCCAGACAGCGGCAGCTACTCTACATATTTTAAGAGTCACAGAATCAATTAAAATCAACAGAGAGAAAAAAGAAATTACTTCAGAAAAGGTTAATTCAACTTATACTGCACATTCAATTATTTTTTGCTAGCTCAAAAATCACGAAGCTATCTGAAACCACCCCGTGTATGCTTTGTTTATGTTTGAACTTTTTAACGCGTTTCTATAAAGTAAAACAATTTTACATCAATGGTAATTTAAATAAATAAAAATAATAAACTAAAAATTAAAATCAATAGATAAAATTTCTTTTTCGGGCAAATACATAAAAAGTTTGATATTAAAATTATATTTGATTTTAAAATTATATTATACGATTATATTATAAAATTATATTATAATATTCTTCCGAATTTAAAAATAAATTAATGTCCATAACTTTCAAAATTAAAAATAATTAAATAAATAACAACAATTTTGCAAAAACATTAAAGAACATAAGAATATTATTCAATAAAATTTTAGGTTACTTTGAATTTTCGATTTCCTAGAAATGTACTTTTAAATCGTTACTTTTTTTGTTTAGTACTTGTACTTTTACTTGTACTTTTTACTCGTTACTTTTTAAAATAAGAACTTTTTACTCGTTACTTTTTTTAAAAATTCTTGTATTCTTACTCGTTACTTTTTAAAAGTAACGTTGCTATATATGACTAAGAGAACCTCCCACGGTTAGCCTGACGACAAGGGGACTCTAACCCATGATCCGTCTACCACTAAGGATATTTCACGTCAGCAGTGTGGTCGGTTCAAGCCGGATGCGGAATTCGTATCGACCAGCCCTCTCTGGGATCGAATCTCGGTTCACCTCATGGGAAGGCGAATGCTCTATTCCCTGAGCCATCGCCGCTCCGTCTGCGATAATTAACATAAAAAGGTAAGGCCAAAACCATTAAGATTGAACATTACTGCGTGAAAATCCGTCTTCATTTTTTATTTTATGCACTGTGCATTGAGTGAAGTGCATGTTATGTGTTTAAGGCAATAAAAAAAAACCTGCACATATAGACATCCTCAGGCTCTTGAATCTTTTCTCCTTTTACTACAGCTTCCATAAATTCGAGTATATAGTTGGCGTAGCATACGACTAAATCAGGCCTGTGCTCATCCAGGCAATGCAGGAAACTGTATTTATTTCCTGTCTCATCTTCTGAAATAACAGATGAAACAGATATAAATACTGAACATCCATATAAATAATCCATGAGTTTCAAATTAAATGATTTGGAAATGATTCGCCAAGAAAAATTGTTTCCAAAAAATATTTTTCTATAATGTGTATATTGTTTAAAACATTTTTTTAAGATTTCGCTTCTAGCGCTGGCAGCGAAGAGTTGAAAGAAGCTGGGCAGAAATGGTAAAAGTTAAACTGTTCATATAAAATTTAAGCGAACTAAGACTTAATATTTTTATTTCAACTATGCTTATTTCGTAAAAAAAGTTCTATAATTTATAGATTAATTTTGTTTAAATGGTGATTAATTTGCTCATTAATTAGCGTGAAAGAAGAACGGAACCAGAGAAAATTGTACATACAGTGGCGCTCACGTACTAAAGGACATGTCTTTATGAAAAGTAAAATCCAAAATTTAATGTTCACGCATAAGTTTATTGAATTTATAATTATGTATTGGAACAAACAACTTATTTTTAATATATTTCCACAATGAAAATCACTTATCTAACTGTTATACTTAAATTATGTAACATATTAGGAAAAATATGCATTCCGCATACTTAAGGACAACAAAATAAATATTTCTTAATCGTTAATAAAATTAATAACAATGTAAAAAATGAAGCAGAAAATAAAGATTTGGAGCTAGTATTTAGCCGGTAAGCCTTTTGCGGCAATTACTGCTTCACATCTACGAGGCATCGAAACTACTAATTTTTGAAATCGCTCAGGAGGTATAGCTGCCCAGCCTTCTTGGATACATTTCCATAAATCACCTAAATTTTTTGGTTTTTGCTGTTTCACATATTTATCCACAGCATCTCGATCGGGTTGAGGTCTGGTGATCGGTGAAGGCCACTGCAAAACCTCAATTTTCTTGCTTGACAAGAAGGCCATCGCAGTTTTGCTCGTGTGCTCTGGATCATTATCGGCTTGCTTGATTGGTTTTCTTGAGAGAAGTTTCCTGTAATAAGGCAGAAAGAGTCTTGATAATGTCCACATACACATGCTGATCCATGATGCTTTCGATTTTGTGAGTTGGACCACATCCTGAACGTGTCATGGCACCCCACACCATCACCGAGCCGCCTCCACCCTTTATAGTTGATTTTGTACACCGTACATTAAATTCTTCACCGACTCGATGCGTCACATAACTTTTGCCATCTGAGCCCATTCTGTTGAACTTCGATTCGTCTGTAAATATAACTCGATTCCAGTCAGCCGATGTCGAGTTTTGGCCTCTTTTTGCAAAAGCTAATCGAGCTGCTCTATTCTTCTTTGACATCTACGGTTTTTTCCTACATACGCGACCCATAAGCCGAAACTCATTTAAACGCCGTTTGATGGTATTATTGCTTACGTGCTTGCCTGTTAATTCAGCGAATTCTTTTCTGATGTCCTGGGCGGTTTTGCTACGATCAGCTTCAGAAATTCGATGAATAATCCGATCTTCTCGTTCGGTAGTTTTGCGAGGACGTGGTTTTCGGGATATTTTTTCAATACTTTTGGTCACTTGAATAGATTTCAATGCTTGGAAAACTGCTGTTTTTGATAATTTTAACCGCCTACCAATTTCTCTAATGCTTAAACCTTCTTTTCTCAGAGTATCTATTCAACATCTCTGTTCATTGCTAAAAATTTTTCCTTTACTCATAATAATGTTGAAATTTGTACTAAAAAAAGCAAGAAAAAAATTTTAATATAATGTTTTAAAGCATCAAACAAAGATAATGTAGTAAATTACACTTGCATTGATCGATAAATTGATTGTAATCATTCAATAACTCCTGTCCTTAAGTGTAAGAAACTTAACATATTTTTTAAATAAACTTTTATGAAACACTTGTGAACACGAATGAATTATTTGAGGATTGAAGTTCAACAGAGGTAGAATTTGTCATTATAGATATCTTGATCAAAACATAATATTCATCTAATATAATGACGCATTTATTTTGAAAACACAGTCCTTAACTACGTGAGTGCCACTATATTACTTAGGTTGAATAATATAGCTAATTGATTTAACTGAAATACTTGTTTTAATCTCGTCCTCTGATTCAGGTCAAATTTGCGATCTGTGGATAAAGGAATGCGTCTGACCTATAAAACGGGTGTGACGTATGGTGTGGCAGAAATCGAATTCTTGGACATAGAGGGCGCCACAGGAAACAAGAACAATTGCACCCTCTGCCTAAACAGGCATACGAAAGCAAGCACTAAGCAAGAAAGCACCATGTCCAAGAGGTCGTGGGTTCGATCCCCGATGGCCGAAGACTCTCCGTGTAGTAAATAGTGACTGATGCACGTTAAATCTGTCGAGTTGCAAAGTCCACCATGTTCCCATAACAAATCAATACCTCTGGGGTACTGATTCTTTGCCTTCTGGATTGGTTCAAAATTTTCAAGGTTACGGAGTTGAACATCAGTAGTCGTAAACCCAAACAGCCCTAAACAGTTCAAGATGTGCTCAGGTGATGCCGGGTTTTGTTGGCATTTAGGGCAAAGAGGAAAGATTTTTTGATTAGCAAAAAAAGTGAGACTTTTCAGGTGTCCACTGGGTGCCAGTCGGGATAAGCAAGTGTTGGTCTGCCTGTCACCAGGAAGAGATAGAGAGAGTCCTGGTCGTTTTGCTTTATACCAGTAGTGAGTAGGTGGAAGCAGCCACTTTTGTTTGTTCTGGGCCTTTTGCCTTGCAAAAACTTCAAGGTATGTAAGCTCTAAGGTGGAGGGGACTGGATGGTCTAGTCCCTTCTTTGCGAGAGTGTCAGCTAACTCGTTGCCGTGGATATCGCGAGGGACGGGATCCATTTAGGCTTTCTGATTTATAAGACTAAAGAGCTTTTGAAAAACGTCCGTTAATAACTAATCTAATTTATCGATATATAAACAAAAAATACTGTAAAATATCATAAAATACTGAGAATAATGCTTTACCTCCTTCAGTACATCCAGCAACGGAATCACAAACGCTTTGTGTCTCCTTTGAAGAGCCGAAATCCCACCAACCGCAGCGTTTCATTTCTCTCTCTGCGCAAGCGTAGAAGTCTTCTTTCCTTCATTAAGACAGAAGAATTTATAATCATAAAACAAAATAATTAAATAAAGAAAGTTTCATGTGTGTTCAACGATTGAAAAAATTATCACAACAAGATAAACATGCACAGCTTCCAGTGTTCCTCTAAAACCAGTGATTTTTTTTTTAAACCTAAGAGCAGAAATAAGCTACGAAGAAACATGTTAGGGGATGCATGATTCCAAAACTAGTTATGCTGAAAATTAATTAGAATCCTTAATTATTCTTACTGAATTTCAAAATTACGCTACTTACAGGAAAACTATTGACAGTGTTAGGTTATATGACATAAATATGACTTGGCAATAAAAGCTTTCCATGAAGAAAAAAAAATTTTTTTTTCTATGAATAACGCTCTTAACAACATTGAAATATCAACTAAAATAAAAATCTAAATATAATAGAACTTATTTTTTTGTTGCTAAGGAATCTAGAACGCGTTTTTAGTATGTACATTTTTAATATGTAATGAATATGATTAGCTTGTTTATTATGTTAGTAGCGCCCCCTGTAGATGAGATATTCAGAAAGATTAAATTTAGGTAATGAGCAAATTTGTTTAAAGGCAGTAACAAGTATATTCAGTTTTAGCATCGTAAGTTCAAGCATCAACGTAGTTAGCATGCAAGGGCTACGTTACTGTATTAGTATTTCTAAAGTTATATGAAACTACAAGTTTAGTTTGTTTATAGTTACGCTTCGATACTTATAATATGGTCTAGCAAACAATGTTTATAGATACCCACGCATCATTGATGGTCTAGCACTGATTTGTCAATAGTTACGTGTACTCTACGCTTCTGTTTCAATTTTAAAACTAAAATTAATGACAAAAATTCTGTAATTCTAGCAAATTTTGACTACCACAGGTTGACTTCGGACAATGGCATCATACCAAATTATACTAATTAGAGTTAATCTTTATTTTGATGAGTTGAACTTCTAAAAACATGCTTTTCTTAATCTAATAACGTAAAATTACGTGAAGTGTTACTAAAATTAATAAATATAAAATTAATCTTCATTAGTTATGTCTTTTATATTTTAGCAAGATTTTGTAGTGTTGACTAATACAGATTTATGGATGGATATTTTTTTAAGGTCTGGTAATCAGTTGTAATAATATAAACAGACTACTTGGAATTTTTGTTACAGAAGTAGAAAATTGTTGTTAGTCGATTAATACTACACTAGTTACTTACATTTCTTTGGTAAATGTCTTTTCATTTCGAGCTAGAAGTTTCGGTAACTGTTTAGTTAAGATATTAGCATAGCATTCTTCAAAACAATCAGTGTTTTCTCCAAAAGAGCTTGCCTCAGATATTCCTACATTATTGTNATTCAAATCTGGTAAATAACAGGTTTTGGTACCACTAAATGCTTGTTTCAATGAGCCGTACATAAAAGCAAAATCTAAGGTACAATGTACCTTCCAAGTTAAGAGGTACATCTGATTTTGCCTCTGAAATCAGAGGTACATTGTGCCTTTCATTTTTAAAGGTACGTTGTGCCCTTAAAATTCATAGGCACAAACGATCCAAATGTGCCTCTGAAATCAGAGGTACATTGTGCCTTTCATTTTTAAAGGTACGTTGTGCCCTTAAAATTCAGAGGCACAAATGATTCAAATGTGCCTCTGAAATCAGAGGTACAGTTTTTAGAGTGTACTAAAATTAATAAATATAAAATTAATCTTCATTAGTTATGTCTTTTATATTTTAACAAGATTTTGTAGTGTTGACTAATACAGATTTATGGATGGATATTTTTTTAAGGTCCGGTAATCTGTTGTAATAATATAAACAGACTACTTGGTATTTTTGTAACAGAAGTAGAAAATTGTTGTTAGTCGATTAATACTACACTAGTTACTTACATTTCGTTGGTAAACGTCTTTTCATTTCATCATTAAATAAATAAAAAAATCAATCATTAAATAAATAAATAAAAAAACTTGATTACATTCAAGGATATTACAATTTTACATAAACTTGGTATTAGGTTAATATTTGTTTCCTCTCTTTACATTCAACGATTTAAAAAAAATTCTGTTAACTGCTTCAATGGCCTGGCATTCATAATCTAGGAAAATGACAGCCAGAATAATGCCAATTTGCCATTATATAGCATTTAACTTTACTTTAACATTTCGGCCTAAGATGTTTACATTCCGCAGAAAACAACAGGATTTCTTGAAGTAACTCAAGTAAATCTATGTAGTTTATGTTATTAATGATTTCAAGCAGACAGGAAAATGACAACATAAAAACCTACTCACCTCGAAAAAATTTTGAAATAGGTTTTAAACCAGAAAGTTGATTCTTTATTCATGCAATGAGACATGTTCAGATAGGATGGTATTCTAATCAATCTATTAATATAAGATATCGATTGCTGCATGCTTAGCTCAATCTAATAACGTAAAATTACGTGAAGTGTTACTAAAATTAATAAATATGAAATTAATCCTCATTAATTATGTCTTTTATATTTTAGCAAGATTTTGTAGTGTTGACTAATACAGATTTATGGATGGATATTTTTTTAAGGTCCGGTAATCAGTTGTAATAATATAAACAGACTACTTGGTATTTTTGCAACAGAAGTAGAAAATTGTTGTTAGTCGATTAATACAAATACTACACTAGTTACTTACATTTCTTTGGTAAACGTCTTTTCATTTCGAGCTAGAAGTTTCGGTAACTGTTTAGTTAAGATATTAGCATAGCATTCTTCAAAACAATCAGTGTTTTCTCCAAAAGAGCTTGCCTCAGATATTCCTACATTATTGTAAAAACAAGTTCTTAACAATTTTGAAGTTCAAAGTTGAATTTAGTGCAAAGAAAACAATTTTATACAGCATAATTCAGTACAGCGGTAACAAACGTGATCAGAAGGTAACGCACATCATTTGGGGATAGAAAATTGCTTAGCAATCTGTGGCCTGAAGTGTCATTGTGCGCCGCTTGAGGCGCTCTGATATTAGGGACTGGCTGCTTGACAGCATTTAAACCGGTACTATTATTTATCTAAAGCATGAGAATTTCATGATTGCTAATAAAAACTAATTTCAAACTATTTAAAAATCCTGTAAACTATTTTATTATTATTATTATTGTAATTTACTAATTTGGCAACGAATTTGGAGAGCTCTGCAAGTCTATCGCCAAATCAATGATCTACGATGAAACATTTAAACCTATGTCTCTTTTGAATGTAATTTTCGAAACTAAAAATTGATTTTTTTTAAAAAAATTGTAATATAGCACATAATCGATCAATTCATTATGGAGATGCGCCCCTAGCGGTGATATTTCTGGATAAAAGTTGCTATGCGATTCTCAATCCTTCACTTTCCATTAGCTGTGCTGAATCACCTCGTGTTATTAGAGATTTTACATGTGAGCTGAAACAATTGGGAATTAAAACTGATAAAGAATTTCATTTTCTCTGTGAATGTGATCGAAAAAAAAAGGGTCTCCGACACTAATCTTCAAAGATCTTCTGCGTTTTTAATATGACAATATATTTTCCCAGCATCATTAATCGCTTTCTGTAAACGCCCCAGTGTTAATCACTCCAGGAAAAAATTACAGGGTGAGCACTGAATAGACAACCCAAATGAGTCTCTTATAGTTTGTCTAAGCAAAGAACTCCTCCCGCTACAAAGTCTGAGAACGTCTGATGCTATGGAAACAAGAATGGCGCATTTGGGGGAGGGTAGCTTCACTCTAGGACTAACACAATAAACCGAAGAAAGAGATTCCCTTTCTCTCGCCGAGCCGAGCCGAAACCCCATCAAAACAGTGCCCCGCACCCCTGCTTGAAATAGTCATACCTCGTTACCATAGTCACCACCACAAGTCCAGACGAATTTTTGGGGGAGTTCTTATTTTAGACAAACTATAACTGTTTGGGGGTTTTATTACGTATCAAGCTTAGGTTTGTGTATGTCTGAGAAAAGGAAAACCTCTTCGCAAGCTTCGTTGTCTGTTTTTGTTAGCAATGACGAAACAGGATTTTAAAAAAATATTTACATTTCCTCTCGGTTAACAGTTAACTAACTATGCCACAAAGATGAAATTTTGACTAGTAGATCATTGCAGGTATAATTAAGAAAACTGCAGTGACTCTCAGGTCATCCTAAGGATTTGACCTTTGAAAAAGCTATAGTTATTATAAAGGTTAACACAGACATTTCAGAGATGAGTCTCAGACCTGCGAAAAACCTCTTCTCAGTTTTTATGCAGTCATGACTTCCTAATTTAAAATACTTTAGAAAAACTGCTGATTTTGTAAAGAATTTTCAAGCTCAAAATTCTTCATTCAGCAATGCTTATTTTTTATTATGACGCTTTACAATTGCGGAAATCCGTAATAACTAATTATTAAAATTTCTCATACATGTAAAGATTATTAAGATTTATTACATTTTATTCATTAAAACTTATATTCTAAAAAAATCACTGTTTGTGAGAATTAGTTGTGTATATTTTTATTTACCTCATTTACCACTATTATTTGTTATTGGTTCTTCAGCTACGATTTATAATTAAACAAAAATTATCTAATAAAATTGTTGTTTTTTTAAAACAAATTTTAATGTATATAATATAGCTATAGCTTTATAAATGTAAATAGTATAAAAAATTTAAATGTAGGATAGCTATAAATTTAAACTTGAATTTTAGCATTGATTTAAAAAAAAATATATAAGTTCTGTAGATAAGAAAAAAACTTAATAAATCCTACGAGTTGTCAATCACAGATTTTTGTAACATCCTTATGATTTTTAAATGTCAAAGGAAATTTTTTTTTCGTAAACACTTAAGTTCATTTTCACTTCCCAAAAAAGTACAACATAAGTTATTGCCGGTTTGTTAAATCTGAAAGATAAGCAATTTTCACTTAAAATAAATATTTTGTGGAACACTAATCAGTTAACATAAGTTTAATATAAATGTGATTTTATCATGGGCTTAATTTTATAATTCTGATTATAAAATTTAAAAATATTTGATTGAATAATTTTTAGATTATATAATTTAAATTTAAAACACTTTTATTCATGACAAAGTGAAATCAAGCAAAACATTTTGTTCCTCAACTTCTGAGTTGTCATATAGTTTTAGTTAGTTTACGTCGCACTAGAGCTGCACAATGGGCTATTGGCGACGGTCTGGGAAATATCCCTGAGGATGATCCGAAGACAAGCCATCACAATTTTGATCCTCTGCAGAGGGGATTGCACCCCCGCTTCGGAAGCCTAACGAGCTGCGCGCGAAGTCGAGCACTTTACGGTAGCACAGTTTAACGAGGACCAATACCGCACACCCTCGGTCCCTTCGCAGACTGATCCAAGTGNTGCACCCCCGCTTCGGAAGCCTAACGACCTGGGCGCGAAGTTGAGCACTTTACGGTAGCACAGTTTAACGAGGACCAATACCGCACAACGCAGACTGATCCAAGTGGTCACCCACCCGCACACTGACCGCAGCCAGTGAGGCTCGACTTCGGTGATCTTCTGGGAACCGTGTCTTAACGATCAGTCCACTGCGGGACTTTGAGTTGTCATAAACTATACTTTATGAATTGTAATTGTGAAATTGGATTTAATAGGTCTTAGTTAAAATTAGTTTTTTTTTTAATTGAACTAATGGCATAAAAGTTTTATTAATATAACTCAAAACACTGTATCGTTAAAATTTATGAGATCATAATAAAAATTTTAAAAGTGATAATATAAAAACAATAAGTTCCATTGTAGCCTTAGGGGAGATTTCGTGATCTGTGGCAGAATAATCACCAAATCTTGGGCAGTAGCCCACAAAAAACTTCAAGAAGAAAAAAAAGATCACAGAAAGGGACTAACTTGAAATGTATAACTCATAGCCATCCCCGAGTAAACATCGAATGTTTTTTTCTTCTTAATTGCAAGTTTAAAATTTATTTGGCACAAATTTTCGAAGTAACAATATTAAGTTTGAAAACTATTCAATATTCAGTTTATAATTGCTAATATGACTGATTTATGTGATTGATAAATGGGTGATTCTTTGGAAACCTGACAATTCCGAACAAAAAATTTCTTCAAATTTAAAGTCCTTAAAATAATCTAAATTTTTTTTATATATTTATTTAGTTACATTTATTAATATCTTACAGACAGAAGTGTAGTTTATTGACATTTGCTCAAGAAAAAAATAATAAAATAGAAATTCACCATAATCAATCGTTAAATAAATTAAAAAATACATTCAAGCATATTACAATCTTACATAAACTTGGTATTAGGTTAATATTTGTTTTCTCTCCTTACATTCAACTGTTTAAAAAATTTTCTGGTAACTGTTTCACTGTCCTGGTATTCATAATCCAGGAAAATGACAGCCAGGATAATGACAATTTGCCATTATATAGCATTTAACTTTACTTTAAACATTTCGGCCTAAGATGTTTACATTCCGCAGAAAACAACAGAATTTCTTGAAATAACTGAAGTAAATCTATGTGTTTTATGTTACTAATGATTTCAAGCAGACAGGAAAATGACAACATAAAAATCTACTCACCTTGAAAAAATTTTTGAAATAGGTTTTGAACCAGAAAGTTGATTCTTTATTCATGCAATGAAACATGTTCAGATAGGATGGTATTCTAATCAATCTATTAATATAAGATATTGATTGCTGGCGCTATCTATTCTGGTTATAAATCACTAAATAAAAGTAGACAGGAAAATGACAGATTTTCTTGTGACAAACAAATTGTTGGCAGAAAAAATTTTTTTCAACAAAGTTTTTGTAAATAATGCCCTATGCATTTCTTCTAGAAATGCTTACAGCGGTTGAGATAAAAAAAAAATTAGATATTAAAAAATTTATGGTTATTATAGTATTAAGTTTTGAAGGAAATATTGTTTGCGACATACCAGGAAAATGAAATTTTAAAATTAAATTAAATTTTTTAAATACACAAAACAATAAATGCTAGTACAAGGTCATTTTAAAATACTAACAGAAATGCTATTTATGAAAATTTTAAAAAAAAAAGTTCTTTTAGTAGTATAGTATTAAATCTTGGAGCAAGAGATTGTAAATTGTTTTCGTGAGAATCGCCCAAATAACATTACATCATTGCTAATTATAACATTAAAAAATATTCATAAAAATTGCGTTACTTACCAAGAAAAAGTAACATAAATATCCAGAGAGCCATATTAGTTGATTCAATTTCTGTGTCTTTTATACAAGACACATTACTTTATAATTAGATTGACTTAATCTAAAATATTTAAACACGTTATTATTCCCGATTTAGAAGGGGCGGGAACAAATGACGAAACAAATTTTTAGCCCTTCATTTTTGGTAAAATGTAAAGCTTTCGACTTTTGAAACTACAATCAAGCATCGATACAATGACGTAATGTGGTAAACGCAAATTTTCATCAAGTAGACAGTCCAGAGACATGTGAAAGTGAAACTCAAAAAACTTCTTCGCATCTTGGATGCTTTCCAAAATTATCGCATCTTGGATGCTTTCCAAAATTAATCACGTGGCTTTGGCAACTGTTTGGCGATCGTTGAGGCGCACTTGGCCTATTTGCTGGAAGCTCTGAGAAAATAATGCCTTGTTTCTTTTGTTTTGAATAAATTTAAGTTTATTGTTATTGAAATCTGGTGTGGTTATTTGAATCAGAGAAAGGCATTACATATGCGTTATGGGTTTATTAATTAAACGTAGCTTGAAGCTTACGTTGACAGGAGGGTTGACTGACTGTAAACAATAACAAGTTTTCTAAAACAGGAGTCCCGCAATGGACTGATCGTTAGGACACGGTTCCCAGTAGATCACCGAAGTCAAGCATCACTGGCTAATGTCAGTGTGCGGGTTGGTGACCACTTGGATCAGTCTGCGTAGGGACCGAGGGTGTGCGGTATTGGTCCTCGTTAAACTGTGCTACCGTAAAGTGCTCGACTTCGCGCGCAGGTCGTCGGGCTACCGAAGCGGGGGTGCCATCCCCTCCGCAGAGGATCAAAATTGTGAAGGCATGTCTTCGGATCATCCTCCGGGATGTTTCCCAGACCGTCGCCAATAGCCCATTATGCAGCTCTAGTGCGACGTAAAATTAGCAACAAAATTAGCTAAAACAGGAAACAATTTCAGAAAACTTCCGGTGCATACCTCTGCTTATGTTATGCTTACGAGGCGATGTGTAAATAGGCGTAATATTCTAGGATGTTTTATTAAAATGATATATGTTTAAATTTACGCATAAAATTAACATTCATAAAAGCTTATTTGAAAAATATTTTCTCATGTCTTAGAGCATTGCTTCCCAAAGTGTGGTACGAGTACCCCGGGGATACGGTAACAGTTTAGTGGGGGTGCGCATTCTTATGCGAAATATCTTGCAACAAACGAAAATTTCAAAAAATTTTACTTCAAAATAAAACTAGCCATGAAAATTTACGATAACGCATTTTTCTATTGGATATTTTTTGCTGAGTTAACAGTTAATAATTAGTGGTGTCAACAGCCAGTTGTGATTTTTAAGTTTTGTGCAGTTTTTTTTACAATAAAAATACATTCATTTTTTTATTTGTGGTACCCAGCGTTACGAAAAATTTAGAAAGGGTACACAAAAGTCATAAGTTTGGGAAACACTGTCTTAGAGGAAAATATTCTAAAATGCATAATTATAATTCAGCAAGAAATTATAGAACATTTATAATTAATGCAATTTATTTCATAGCTAGTAGCATATAAAAAGTTTACAAGTTACAAAAATGTTACTAGAAAATAAAAGTATATACTAAAGTAGGAGAATATTATTATTTTATAAATATTCCATTTCCACTCCTTAACGCATTTCTATCTTCAGTGAAGAAATCAAAATCAGATATTTGAATATTATGGAAGTTAAGCGTTTAATAAATAAATAAGTATATAAAATGGAAGGATATAACTAGATGTTAAGAAATAAAGCTTAATTTAATTTCTATTGTTTCATAAAATTAGTTTCTGAAATGAATGAATATTTAACTGACACGAGGAAACATTTAAAATAAATTATAAGTTCTAAGATTTGAATACTTTATTTATGCAGACTTTTTCATTTAATTCTAAAATAAAAAAGGACGCCACGTGCTGAATAAATCTGCTCAAAATCTAAACAAAACAAATGAAAAAAGTTATCATTCACACTCATTCTTTAGAAAGAGAGCTTATTTTTCTGACATATTTTTTTCCCCTATATATTTACAAGCATTTTATGCAATATTTGTCCTGAATAATATTCTAAATGGTGATTCGAGCACGATTTTAAGCCCAATCAAATACTACATACCTTCATAAATGTTTTTTACAAACAATTTTCCCACATTTTGATAAGACTTGTCTCTCAACGTTTCACACACTTTTGAATTGTTTTTTAAATAAAATTTTAATGGTATATCGTCATAGAAGACAGTTTTGTTTTCTTCCAATAAATTATTGTGCTTTTTTTTTCTACTTTTTTTTCATTAAAACTGTTTTGCAGAGAGCTGTCGAAATTTAAAATAGAAACAGTCATAAAAATCTCAATTGACGATTAATATTTTGAAATCTTTTCGTTTTTAACGTACGCTATTCAGTGTCTTGGACATGGCGTAAAATACAAAGAAGAGAAGATGTATTTTCCTTCAACCAAGTGTGGACGTTTCATCTGAATTGAAACTTTAATTTCGAATCTCAGCGCCGGCACGTCATTTTTAGTAAATTAATTTAGCTACCACTCTCACACAAATTTCTGCACTGCGCAGTTAGTTCAGAACAAACTCGGTTCCTTACAGAGCATGCGTGTGAGCTTTCTGCCGAAACTTATGTAGCTTTTTATTAGTGAGATTTTGCGTTTCCACGTAGCATCGCACTCATTATCACCGTACATAAGTTTAGTGAAGAATCGTGATTGTTCTGTAGTAACTAAGAAAAACTTATGCACGTGAACGTGCGGGAAGTTACATGTAAATTACATGGCCAAATTAATAGACGTACTATAAGATTCTATGTATAATCTTAATTATCAGGTGTTTTTACGCGGCTGAAACCGGTTTACAATTGCTTATGTTCGCGTATCAATCACTTAACATTGCAATGCAATACGTTAAAAATAAATGCAATTGGGATGTAGTATATAAAAAATTTCTTGAATAAAAACCCATTACATGTATGTTTAAATATAAAAGTATTGCATATAAACACGCGCAAAACATGTAATTATTAACAAACTATAGTAGGTCTAATAGTTTGATCTAATTATTACAATATACTAATATAATACATGATATAATAAATATTTTATATTTATATGATATATCGTCTAATTTATCCAATCGTCGAATCTATATTATATATCGTCTAATTTAACAAATTGATACACGAACGTAAACAAGTGCAAACCGGTTTCAGTCACGTAAAAGCAATAAAGCTGTATAAGTATCACCTGATAATTAAGATTTTACAGAATCTTATAGTGCGTCTAATAATTTGGCCAGAAACTGTAAGTGCAAAATGCAGAGTGCCCTTATGAAAATTTAAGGTATATTTAAGGTTGATTTGAGGTATTTTTGAGGTATTAAGGTTGTTTTGAGGCATATTTGAGGTATATTTAAGGTTGCAGAGAAAACAGCAATAAAAATTATACCTCGTAAAGGTTGTAATTAAGGTGTACGAGATTGATTTATACATACTTCAGCTTGTTTTGAGGTTGTTTAAAATTCACTTCAAATCAACCAGACTGATAAGAAGATTTTTAAGGTAAACCAGGTTTATTTTCTAACACTTGTAACTAAAGAGGTATTTTTGAGGTATAAAAATTTTTATCTTATTTCAACTAACGATAAAAAGGTATTTATTGAGGTATATGAAGTCATTTTATTTATACCTAAGCTTATTTTGAGGTTGTTTTAAATTCACTTCAAATCATCCAGACTGATAAGATGATTTTTAAGGTATACGAGGTTGTTTCTCTTACACTTGTAACAAAAGAGGTATTTATGAGGTATAAAAAAATCAACCTTATTTCAACTAACGAGAGTGAGGTAATTACGAGGTATAAAAAATATACCTTTTTTCTACTAACGATATTGAGGTATTTATGAGGTATAAAAAAATATACCTTATTTCAACTAAAGAGAGTGAGGTATTTATTGAGGTGTTGAAGTCATTTTATTTATACCTAAGCTTGTTTTAAGGTTGCTTAAAGTACACTTCATATTAACTAACTCACTTCCCAGAGTTCCATGCGAGCCGGCAAATGGCGTGTGTGTTGACAATCGAAAGTCTATTCGAAATTCGGTAAGTGTGCTTGACATTTATTAATTTAGTTTTATCACTTTTAATCAAATATGCTTCAATTTTGAAACTTAAATTTTATTATTTTTGTTTTAACGACGCGTCCTGATCTTAAATAATTTAAGTTGGAGGATATTCTTAGAGGCTATCGTTGTAGGCTTAGCAATAAGAGAGAATAACCGAAATATTTCTCGTCACTGTTTTGGGTAACATTACTGGTGAATCGTTACAGCAGGTTATGCACAGTATATTTTATTGTTTGTAGTTCAGTCAAATAGAACTATTCTTTTTATTTTGCTTAAATGTATATGTTTTAACGTAGCAGTATGCACGCTGATTAATTGAGAAAAATGTTCACAATTTCTCTTATAAATAAATCATTGAAAATTGAAAGATTTTTAAAATAGCAATTTTGCTTTGAAATTCTACTATAGCTGTATGCTTATCGTTTGGATATTTGTTGCAAAGTTTATATTATTGTGTATATATATATATATATATTTACAGAGCTTATCCACAGTTCCCTGATATTACTGAGATGGCCTAGGCTGTAAATAGCACATGCGCGGCGGCGCAGAAGAAGAGACAAGCAAGCTACTGCTCAGCCTTCCCCTAGGATATAGTTCTGAATTTATACCTAAAAGAAAAAGTAATCTCTCCTAATAAACTACAGAATTTATGTAATTGTTGATAACAATAGTTTGCTAGATATTTGATAATTGAAAACTAGTAACTGTACTAGCTCACTTCTTCATGTTTGATCACAAAACTGCTATTTTCACTACATGTTATTTTCTCGCATTTTACCCACGTTAATTATTTACTAAGCAGATTGTTATTACTTATTAGAATATTGGGCAGAATGAAATTAAATCCGATTTCAAGTTTATATGACAATTTGTTTCAAGGTTATGAGCTTTTTCATGCAGCTGTTTATGGTTCACTACTTCAAAAATGTGCGAATTTCGGAAATCTTAAATATTTTAGAAATAAGTCAGTATAGTATGCAATTTTAATCCTGAATTGAATAAAATCAATTGCAAATAAAAACATTTATTGTTGAAAGTAATATGCATTATTTTGAGTTTCATCCTATGGGATGTGTATTTATATTTAAACAAGTGTTTGTAACAACTAACTATTAGTTTTATTCTGCTCGGTATTATAAGTTATATAGGAGATATTATACTCAACTTATTTTAAAAGTATTATTTCAAATCATTCTCTCTTAGACATTTTCCTCACATAAAATTACTCACAACTTTAAAATAAATGCTCCTTATCAGCTTGTAATTTGTTCTATTCGATTGAGTGTAAAAAAAGAATAAAAATTGGTACATAACTTTAAAATTTTAATTTATTAAACGATTGTAGATTCTTGATTACATTGATTAAAAATTATTAAAATAACTATTTTTTAAGAAACTCTGATGTGATTGACAATAACATAAGTCCTTTTCAGAATCAGCGTCAAAAATTTAAAAAAAAGCTGCTAGTTTCATGAAGTCTGACAAAAAGTTGAAAAATATAGACTAGGTTTATTGAGTTTAAAGATTTTTAAAAAAGAAAGGGAAGGAAATCTAATTATTAAACTTACAAGTACCATAATGTTACAGATGTATAGAAAAATAAAAAGTGTTAAAATTGCATAATAAGATTGGAATTATACAGGGTGTTTATAAAGTCCCGGACCCATTTTGATGTTTAATAACTCATAAAATAATAAAGATAGATTAAAATTAATAACATTAATGGTTAGATAGACTCAAAAAGTTTCATGACCCTTGTCAATGAACTTCCACGTGTGCCCCCTTCGTCGCACGGAGAATATCAAGTCGATAGTCAATTTCACGAGAGGTAGCTTTCTTTTTTACAGAAAAGACAATCTCATCAGTCGTATACTTAGACATGTTGGAAAACTTCGTATTTCCACAACTAGAAGAGCTTCAGCCACATGTCTTTTTGCAACAAGATGGTGCACCACCTCATTGGGGTATCATCGTTCGTAGTTCTTTGAATGACCATTTTACAGGAAGATGGATTGGGCGAGGAGGTCCAATTCCTTGGCCACCCAGATCACCTGATATAACGCCGCTGGACTTTTTTCTTTGGGGATTTATAAAGGACAATGTTTACAGGAGGATCGTGTCGAACATTGATGGCCTAAAAGCCAGAATTACAACCGCAATAGCCTCTGTGGATGCCGACATGCTTGCCGCTACCTGGCGTGAAATTGACTATCGACTTGATATTCTCCGTGCGACGAAGGGGGCACACGTGGAAGTTCATTGACAAGGTTCATGAAAGTTTTTGAGTCTATCTAACCATTTATGTTATTAATTTTAATCTATCTTTATTATTTTATGAGTTATTAAACATCAAAATGGGTCCGAGACTTTATAAACACCCTGTATATTTGAATTTCTGTAAATGTTGTTAATGGTAATACTGTCTTCAGTGTATTTTATTTTGTGGCTGTGATACATGTCATGCTTTTTAGCTACGAGGATTGAATAGAAATGGCAGAAGATATTTATCTGAAAAGGAAAATTAATTTCATCCAGTTAATTTAAATGATAAAAAAAATACTTTCTAATATTTTAAGACCTGCCACTATTATTGTAAATATGACTTTCTTACTAATTTATATTTTTTTTCCTTTTAGGTTCCAATAATTACAAGTTTCAACATGTAGACGGAAACAGTATTTAAAATAATTTTGTTGGTTTGTAAAAAAAGTGAAATTTTAGTTTTAAATAAAAGTACTTTGAATTTCAGCTGACTAATTATTTAAATTTGTAGTTTTATAGCTTTAAAAATTCAAGCACCTTAGACAACTATCTTCTAAAAATACGAGTATGAGTTCCCATAAATAATTTTTACTAACTGTAGAATTTGGATAAGTGTTATTTTAAGATGATTTAAATCAATCTATTAAAATTATAGAAGAATTATGCATTTGAAACTTTCTTTTATAGCTTAACAAAAGAAGCAATTACTGCCGAAGGTTTAATATTAAAAATTTCAGGTTGATAAATGATCTCTACTAGTGAAAAAAATGTAATGTACATTATTCTTCATATAATATATATAATATCTTTATATATATATTATATTTTTTATATAGTGAGTCTAAAAATTAATAAACTAGGTGGTCCGTATAACACCTCACCTTCGTAAGTGCTAAAAAAAACATCTTTGGTTGATAAATTAATACTTCTAAAAATACAAAAATATATACTTGAGGTTACGAAATAATAACTTAAGGTAGAACATGGAACACATGGCGCTAATTAAAAATAACCTTTCCAATTGTTGAAAATACACTTCAGGTTGATTTATAACAACCAGAAGTGTAAAATGGCCCACCTTAGGTTGAAAAATATATACCTCTACAAGCATAAAATTATATACCTGAGGTTGAAGAATAATTACCTGAGGTAGAACAAAATACATTTGAGGTTGATTTATAACAACCAGAAGTGTAAAACGACACACCACAGGTTGATAAATATATACCTCTACAAGCATAAAATTATATACCTGAGGTTGAAGAATAATTACCTGAGGTAGAACAAAATACATTTGAGGTTGATTTATAACAACCAGAAGTGTAAAACGACACACCACAGGTTGATAAATATATACCTCTACAAGCATAAAATTATATACCTGAGGTTGAAAAACAATTACCTGATGTCGAACAAAATACACCTGAGGTAGATTTATAATAAGCTGAAGTGTAAAATGACACACCATAGGTTGAAAAATATCTACCTCTACAAGCATAAAATTAGATACCTGAGGTTGAAAAATAATTACCTGAAGTCGAACAAAATACACCTGAGGTTGATTTATAATAACCTGAAGTGTAAAATGACACACCTTAGGTTGTTGAATAAATACTTCCACAAGTGTAAAAAAATATACTTCAGGCTGAAACATATATACCTCTGGAGGTATATTTAAGGTATATTTGAGGTTGATTTTGAGTATTCATTTGCACCCTTTTCAACCTTTACGACGTATTTAAACAACAACCTCCTTTATACCTTTAAAATATACCTCGTTTATACCTCATTTATACCTCGATTTTTTCATAAGGGTGGGTAGGAATCTGCTCAGTAAATCAAAAGCTGTTCAGGGTGATATGTCATTTTTATTTAATAGAATTGTTTATTATACATTTACGTACAGAAATGTTTTAGCATTCCAGAAGAATATATCTCTTTACTACTTTTGGGACATGAAGCATTTCGACGCCTGCTGGAAGCTGAAGAGACTTAGCCATCTGTTCACGAACTGAGAACCTTGAGAGATGGAGAAGGGATCTTGGCGATTTCGTTAAAGTTCTATTTTCCAGCACATGCTCTTCGTACCAAGTCCATGCAAGTTGCAATAAAGTTTGCTCCGAAGTTTTTGTTGGCGCAAAGCTGCTGCAGAATTCTTCCTTAGTTAGAAAAGGGTCTGTTATGCTATTCCACAGTAATTTTAATGCGCGCGAGGACATAAATGGAGACTGACTATTGAAAAAGTGCAAATACAGTATTTGCAGTGATCTAACTGTCTTGGAGTTGAGTTCTGTTACATTCACCATACTTTCGGATACCCTGTCAATATAAATAAAAAATATCATCTAAATATCAGCACAATAAATGTTATAAAAAAAATAAAGAAAACAGGTTTGTTATGTGTAGCGTTTGAAACGACTAGGAATTGAAAACAAATACTAAAACTAATAAAATTCTCATAATACAGTAGTGTTCCGATTATCCGAGTTTCCGCTTTAACCGAGTTATCAAATATTTTATAATGTCTGCGAAGTTTTCCCTCATCGGGAACGAGTGTTGACTCCTAGGTCAAAAAAGTGACCTAAGATAATGTGCATTTTGAGTTTTTTTTCTTCTTTTTTTTATACAAATATCTTACAAACAATGCTTTGTATGGGGCCTCCCTGGCCGAGTGATATCACCCGCCAAAGGCTCGGGTACGAATCTCTGCGAATGCATAGTCGATACGAATCCGCATCCGTCTTGCACTGACCACAGTGCTGTCGTAAAATATCTTCAGTGATTATGGGTTAGAGTCCCTTTGCCGTCGGGATAACCGTGGGAAGTTCTCGTGGTCTTCCTCTCTATGTAACGCAAAAATTCGTTAGTTCCATCAGAAAATTTATCTCAATACTTGATCCAGGAGTACCCTTATCTTCTGGATTGGGTTCAAAATTACAAAGCTACGGAGATCCATCTACCACTGAGGATATTCCACGGCAGCATTCTGGTCGGTGCAAGCTAGATGCGGATTCGCATCGATCAATCATTGCCGGGATTTGAACCCGATTTACTTCATTGGAAGGCGAATGCTCTACCTCCTGAACTATCGCAGATCAAGAGAAAACTTTTGCCAAAATTTTTTTCCGAATTGAAGCACCTAACCACTGACCTACTTTACTTGATACGGCACATAAAATTGACATGTTTGTCTTCAGCAAACAGCAATAACTTTAAACTCAGTTATTTTAAATTATATTTTATTTTTGAATGTATATTATTATTATTTTTTTCGTATTTACTTGTATTCTTTCGTTAACTACACATGGTTATATAAATTGACTTCGCCTATTTTGTCAGATGAATAGCGAACTTAATATTCATATTAGAATTAATACGCACTTTAGCTATAATTGAATAGGCTCATTCTTAAAATATTTTTCAATATAGAGAGTATATAAATACTCACAAACAAGAGTCCATGAATCGCGTTAAGTGCCACAATTTTGCATGTGTGAAAATTATGCAATAACATAAATTACTAATTATACCAGTCAGTGATTAAAAAAAAACTAAAATAATTAATCGGTCCTTCTATTAAATCGGTTTAAAAAATATTTTTCAATATAGAGAGTATATAAATACTCAGAAACAAGCAAGTTTCCATGAATCATGTTAGGTGCCACAATTTTGCATGCGTGAAAATTATGCCAATAGTATAAATTACTAATTTTACCAGTGAGTGATAAAAAAAAACTAAAATAATTAATCGGTCCTTCAATTAAATCGGTTTAAAAAACGCTGCATTTGCGATTTAAAAAAAAAAAAGCCTTTCATTATATCGAAATGTTTTTTTTTCTTCCTGATTTTAATTTATTTATTATTTTTTATTTATTTTAAATTTCAAGAAAATTAATTAAACATATCGATATTGATGAATTTTACATTTCTCAGCACTTTTCCGCTGAGCTGGAATCACTGGATAGCAATAATCTCCAGGAAATGATTCAAACCACTACCACTATCTCTATTAGAGCTCAATAGACGTGAAACATAAATTATCAATGAATGAAGAAAGAGTGACAGGACCACCAAGGTGGGGTCCTAGATAAGAATTGGTCTATGGTCAATGATTACTTTTCATTATTGAGAATTAGAAGAATGTGTTGCATCCTCCTGTGGAAATAGGAGTTGCCTGCATGCTTCTTTCAAAAGGGTTCAATTAATTCATCAATGCTTAGTATTCACTCATTTTGTGAAGAGTTGTAATAGATGGTTTATTTTGAAGATAAAAGGCCATATGATTAGAACAGGAACTAAAAACCTTGAAAGAGGAGAACAGAAGAACAATGTGTTTGCAAAGTCCTGTAGTCATGAATAAATATTTACAATAGTTTGCATACTCACAACTCCATGTCATAGCATTTAAATTTATTTATTATTATTAGATTTTTGAACCTGATGGCTTAGACTGCACGAGTCCTTATATCGAGCGCCGATTGCATTTTTTCCCTACCAGAAACAGTCGTTGAGCAGCCAAATCAATTTCATGGGTTTACAATTACTAATGTTCAATTTTGCAGCCTTCTAATTTTGAGCTCAATCCAGAAGACAAGGGAACTCCTGGATCAAGTATTGGGAGAAATTTGCCTTCGAGGAGGACTTTTTTATGGAACAAATCCGCATTTACGTTACATAGAGAAGAAAACCACAAAACCTCCTACGATTAGCCTAGCGGCAAGGTGACTCTAACCCATGATCTGTCTACCACTAAGGATATTTTACGTCAGAACAGTGGTCGGTGCCAACTGGATGCGGAATTGGCATCGACCAACCATCGTTGGGATTCGAACCCGGCTCACCTCGTTAGAAGGGGAACGTTCTTTCCCCTGAGCCATCACGGCTCATGCAGAGTCGTATAAAGTGTTCCCGACAACAACACCAATTAATCGATAAAAAATTAATTTCCATAAAAATATTTATTTTTAAATAATAAAAACTGTTCAATTTTTTTCAAACTTATACTCTTAATAAACACCTTTGAATTAATCCCCCCCCCAAAAAAAAAATTATAAATCAAAAATCAAACAAGAGTTAAAGATGACACGTGTTTTATTTTTCAAACACGGGATATCTTTATATTGCTAATGCTTAATAATTGCTTTCCCAGAGCTTAACAATGACCCAATTTTTAATAAGGGAGTTATTTAAGAGCATGCTTATGATTGCCACAAAATAAAGTTCTTTAAATGTTTAAAAAAAATAATAAAATTAGAATGTTTTATGGAATAGGAAACTTGAACAACTAATAAAGAAAATTTGGCAAGAAAGTACAAATTAAAATTGAATTGATCATGTTGGCAAGATGATCGCGTCTGCGAAATTATCATGTCAGCGAAATGAGCTGTCAATGATCGTTATAGAGAAACAGTATCGGTGATGTGATCTTTCAATGATTCACAGAGCTGAGACATGAAGACAGCTCAATCAGAGCTCATTCGATGTTTTTCATTTCGTCTGTTTTATTAATAATTTGCTAAGTTCTATTATGATAGTGTTGTTTCTTGAATATATTTATTGCCGACCTCAAACATTTATATTTTTTACTGGATTTCTAAAAACACATATTAAAAGCGGTTATTACGGAACACCTTGTAAATAGAAATAAACAAGCGATTATCTGTAATGGAGTTCGAAGTAACTGTCTGTTTATTTTGGGCGAAGTGACTGTCTGAGCGTCCTTATTTGTAATTGCAACGTCAATTTTCAGTTCAGAAAGAGTTTGAAAACTTGTTTTTGCTGTCCAAGTAGCCACGTGGAAGCAGAGTGGGCAATCCAATGGATTATATAAAGTTAAGAAAATGCTAAAAATTCGGTCTTATAAATAAAGAGCAGAGACGAAAAAATAAAACATATGACGAGAGAAAAAATAAACAGTCTTATTAATCAAATAGGTTATAATGGAAAATAATTTACATACCTACTAACAGCTGACATCCAATATCTGTGGTATACATAATTCTCCGCAGATAGACCCTCTGTTTTTCCGTATTTAATCAAAGAGACTAAGTTCTCTATCTTCGCAAATAAGGAATAATAGAAAAATCTAAATGATGATTTTTCAACCTCGCTTTCCCAAATCTTCAATACATCGATTTTAGCTTCGTGTGCGATTCTGAGTACATCGTCTAAGATTCCATAAGGGGAATATCCATTTGACATACAAAACACTCGAAGGCATTCCACAAAGACACTCTGGTGAACTTTATTTTCGCTTGATAGTCTGAAATATCGAAGAGCCCTCTTGTTAAGTACACAATTGTCATGGAAGTATGCTTTTTTCACCATTTCATGAGCTTTCAAATAAAATTTTAAGGCAGACGACATATACTGAGAACACTGATGTTCTTCATGAAAGTAAATTAGTTGGCGACCACACCACGCCAAGGCTTTAGGGGAGGACATTTCGTTGAATTTTATCACCAACATCTCAGCTGCTGAGTTCTCGCTGGCACTTCTAAATTCCCCAGTGATGGTCACTTCGAAACACATTAAATTTAGACAGTTGATGTGAGTTTCATATAATCCTATTGCGACGTCTTCTTCATCAAAGAATGCACTATCTTCTTCATGTTGGTGCCAGCATTTCATTTCGAAGTTCTGTCTTTGCTCTAATGCTTTGACCACTAACAACAAATCATCAGAATCAACACTTGTTACACTCGTCATAATAATTATAAGTTAATATTCTTAAAAATTAGTATTTTCTTAAAATTGTTATCAACTTGATTTAAAAGATCAAACCTTAGATCGTTATAATTATATTTTTTTCTCCGGGCTATAAAATCAGATATATTTTTTTTTTAAAAAATCAAATTTACTTATTTTACTACTCAGTACAAACTGAATAAACTCAGGTGATTACAGAATAAGAGAGCTCAAATATTTCCCGAAAACCTTCATTTCCACGTGTACTGCAGTATTAGATCAAAGATATGATATTTTTCTTTTGAGCCTGATGATTTAATGCGTCTAAGGGCACAGAAAGCCACGCCCATACTTCCTCAGCGGCGAACTACAGTCTACCTCCTTTAATGACGCTCTCTGATTGGTTGAATGTGCTGCATCCATTCAACGAATTGGGAGCAACTCTTCCAAGACGAAAATAATGAGTTTGGTTATGTTACTTAAAAAAAATTTAATTAAGCTAAAATAATAAACAATTATTGAAGAGTGTTATGTATGAAATTAATTGATATCACAATATCAATTATAGACATATATTCATGCCTGAAAATTGCTTACGCAAAAAACTAATTTTATTCGTAAGAATATCGATATGAGTTTTTTTGGGGGGGAGGGGGGAGGGGGAGGATAATAAGATAATACAACAATACAACTTGAATACAAAAGTGTAATAAATAATAAAGTATAATATAAATAAAAATAAACGACTTATATTTCTGTTTACTATTTCGAAAGCAAGATCTCATACTCAGTCAAAAGTTGAAATGGGTTTAACTTCATAATCAGAAAATGTTTTGAATAATGTGTAAAAAGGTTTTCAAGTGCATTTTTGATTTAAAATAAATGATAAATAAATTTGCGAACGATACCTCAGATTACAATTTTAAAAATTCTTCGATTATTGAATTTAAAGTGGTTAGTGGGATAAAATCATTTTAAATAAAATAAGCAAATAAAAAAAGCAACGAAAATTATTACAAATTTTAAAACAAATCTCCATTATTCTAAATATGATTTATTCCATTTTTTTTTCTTCAAATAATACTTAGGTAAATAGACTTTCAAAACACTTTGATCAAATTTCATAAATATTTTTCATAAAATAAATTTAATTTCATGAATATTCAAAAAATTCTTTTACCAAGAATCCTAAATATTCTAAAACAAAAAAAAAGGGAAATCGATAGGATACTTAAAAATCAATGTAAAATTTATGTATGGACCCTCTGTTCAATATATGTTAAACTTTTTCAATATCAACATTTCTAATAGCACTGCAGATATGCGCGAAACAATCTCGTCTTTAATGATAAAAGCATAAAAAGTGGTACAAAAATACTATACATATGAAGCTTTAATTTTAAGACCATCTCAGATTCAATCCGCAACAATAATGACGGTCTCTGATCATTTCAACACTTGAATATCGTAAAGCATTTAACACTAATTTCGTACTATAAGTATGAGTGTCAAATTTTTGGAAATTACCCAATTTGGTCGGAAAATAAATATAAACGATTCTTAAAAACATCTTTCCTAGTCTGAATTATACAGATCACAATATGCTTAATCAAATAAGAAGGGACATTTCGTAAATTTTTTGAATATCGGGACACATTTGAAACTAATTTTGTACTATAATATGTGAGTTAAATTTTCCGAAAATTCTCAATTTGGTCGGAAAATAAATATAAACGATCCTTAAAAACATCTTTCCTAGTCTGAATTATTCTGATCAGAATAAGCTTAATCAAATAAGAAGGGACACTTTGGGAATTTTTTTTTAGTTTTTTGAATATCGTAACGCATTTGAAACTAATTTCGTACTATAGCATGTGTGTCAAATTTTTCGAAATTACCTCATTTGGTCGGAAAATAAATATAAACGATCCTTAAAAACATGTTTCCTAGTCTTAATTATACAGATCACAATATGCTTAATCAAATAAGAAGGGACATTTCGTAAATTGTTTGAGTATCGGGACACATATGAAACTAATTTTGTACTATAATATGTGAGTTAAATTTTCCGAAAATTCTCAATTTGGTCGGAAAATAAATATAAACGATCCTTAAAAACATCTTTCCTAGTCTGAATTATTCTGATCAGAATAAGCTTAATCAAATAAGAAGGGACACTTTGGGAATTTTTTTTTAGTTTTTTGAATATCGTAACGCATTTGAAACTAATTTCGTACTATAGCATGTGTGTCAAATTTTTCGAAATTACCTCATTTGGTCGGAAAATAAATATAAACGATCCTTAAAAGCATCTTTCCTAGTCTGAATTATTCAAATCAGGATATGCTTAATCAAATAAGAAGGGACACTTTGTGAATTTTTTTTAATTTTTTGAATATCGTAACGCATTTGACACTAATTTCGTACTATAGTATGTGTGTCAAATTTTTCGAAATTACTCAATTTGGTCGGACAATAAATATAAACGCACCTTAAAAACATCTTTCCTAGTCTGAATTATCTAGATCAGAATATGCTTTAATCAAATAAGAAGGGACATTTCGTAAATGTTTTGAATATCGGGACACATTTGAAAGTAATTTTGTACTATAATATATGTGTCAAATTTTTTGAAAATTCTCAATTTGGTCGGAAAATTAAATATTGACGACATTTAAAAATATCTTTCCTGGACCCAAAGACTGAAAATAGTATATACATTAATCTAATAAGGAGGGACACTTCGTGAATTTTTTTTATTTTTTGAATCACGTGTCAAATTTGAAACTAATTTCGTACTATAATATGTGCGTCAAATTTTCCGAAAATTCTCAAGTTGTTCGGAAAAAAAATATAAAGAGTACTTAAAAACATCTTTCCTTGACCCAAAGATTGAGAATACCGTATACCTTAATCTAATAAGTAGGGACATTTCGTGAGTTTTGTTTAATATTTTGAATATCGTAACGCATATGAAAGTAATTACGTATTACAGTATAGGTGTCAAATTTTCCGAAAATACCCAATTTGGTCAGAAAATAAATATGAACAATCCTTAAAAACATCTTTCCTAGTCCGAAAAACTCAAAACAGCAATGTATACACACACAGTCGTCCCCACTTAATTAATTAATTTGGTTCAAATAATATCCAGTAATCTAATAGATTTTTTACTAACTATTAGACTGGTTTTTATAATTAAAAGTTATCAAAATATAATTTTATTTGCAATTAGAGTGTCAGAAAATAGATAAAAGGGCCATATATGATGGAAAAATTAACTAAAATCCTGCAAAGTTTGGTCTTTTATTCCTTATACCCTTTCTATAGAATATTTTGCTGAAAACGGAGTTGCTGGTATACCTATTGTTTTACTGAAAAATAAATGTTGATTTTAAAAATAGACATACATTTCAAATGTTAATTATTTTAACTACTATTGCGCACTGTTTTAAATCGAGAATGCATTTCAATACGTGTTACGAACTCCATAACAATATAACAGGTATTCTTTTGTCTAAAACTGATAATGAAAAGTATTTTTCTAAAGCCTGTTTTTCAAAAAAATTTTTACATATACATGTGCTGATTGTGTAACTACTGTCAACGCTTGATATAACAACCTCTTTCGTCCGTTAAAAACGGACGTTATAGCTTACGTGCCTCAAAAATTCCACGTGTATTTATTAAAAAAAAAGAGAGAGAGATTTCTTTTTTAGCGTAATAGATTCTTTTTCATATTTAAATGACGCATCTTTATTTCTTTTAAAAGTTTATATATACATACATGCATTCATTAAAATAATAATTCATCGATGAAAATACGCAACTGCAAAGACAGAATGTTTTAACGTGAAAATAAACCACAGAAGGGGACTGATATTTCATAAAACGAGTTAATACAGTTCTCAAACTAGAAAAGTATGATTGATAACTTTACGGAAGTTAACAATCATCCTGAATGCCTATTTCTAAACTAATGAATGTGTACAAGACTTCATGCCGATATCCACGTCATGCTGAAACGTTCAGTTTTTGTTATCAGTAAGAAGTAATACATATTTGATTAACTTTCTGACTCAGAATCACGACCACCTTGAACTAGAATCTTGGGGATCGTGCACCCCCCCCCCCCCAAANCCCCCCCCCCCCCCAAATAGATTCTCCCACTTCTTTCAAAATGATTTCTAAATGTTTTACTTTTATTGTGTAGCAACATTAAAAAAATAATAATAATATTTAAAATAATTTTTTCGCTGAACCAAATTCAAATCGTAATTTCTAAACGGTGTTAAATCAACATCGCGTTTATATGAATAACGAACGGAATTTTATGAATCGGTTTTAATAATGTAATATTTAATAGCTGTAATTGGGAGTCGAACAAAAGAGATCACATTGAAGTTCGGTAATAAACGGAGAAGTAGAAAAATAGCCAAAACCATGCTTACATAATGTTAGCACATGTCATAGAGGATTGCGCTAATGGTTTTCTTAAATCCTAGTGCACTGCTGCCCCTGCGCTCAAAGCAACCCTTGAGACCATCCCTATACACCTTTAATCATGTAGGAAAACATTTTCTGATAAGATCGCGGTCTCGCCATCAGTGTCCGCCTGAAGCAAGAGTGTGATGGTGAGGATTCGGATTAATGTTCCCCCATTTTTTCGCTAATATTTCTGCAAATATCAATTGAAAGTAAGAAAATAAAGAATTGTTCCTTCTTAGTTGACAAGAGGCTTTTAAATTCATGTTTAATTTGAAAGCCCCATGGTAAAATCTTATGCCTTAACCAAGTTCTGTTGCTCGGCGTACATTTGCTCGGTATACCGTACATTGTTTTTCTTAATATTAAGCTCCACTGCCAGGTATATATTTGCTTGTCATACCCTACCCTGGTGCTTTTTTTCCTCGGATGTTTTTTTTTCCCTGATGTTTTTTTCTATCCTGATGTTTTTTTTCCCTGGATATTTGCTTGTCATACCCTATCCTGATGTTTTTTTGATTAAAGATTGAGTGCTATACATTATACTTAGCTGTAATACTTCCAGTAAATATATGAAATTTTAGTTGTAAATCAAATCCTGATTTCAGCGTCTCAAATTTTGTAAAATTGTTCAGCCTATCTTGATATATTGTCTTTGTCCAGGTAGAAGATAGTACTTGATTTTTATACATTGTATCCTCACATGTTGATAAGAAGAGCTAGAAACACAATTGGCATGAAGTTAGGATTAGGGATTATAATTGAAGCAATTACTGATGGCAGTCCACCATTGCCCACTCGTACTGAGTTTATTTACATATATCCCATAAATTTAAAGTTTATCAT